GTGGCTGCGTACAGAACTTATTTAAACCTTACTCGTGAAACGGTCTCATTCTTAGCACAGGAATTGCCGAGCTGTATCCCATGCAGGTGCATCTAATGGTCAGACGTGCTTTGAGGACACTGTTTATCATTTATATATCGACATGAACCTGGTATGCTTCACCGTGTTACCTACTTCTCTGCAACACTTGCAATGATCACGTCACTGAATGGCGTTCAGCATTACCCCCAGCAATATCAAGGTAGCATGTAAAATTAAGACAACCAATGTCGGAAAGCGGGAACTACGATAAACGTCATCGGGTCCAATGTCACGCTGTTAGACCTGTGAATATGACGCAGTCCTGGCCACCCTCCACGCTCGGGATCTGTTGCGACAATCAAGATGTATTGCGACGAACTGCATCTGACCCAGATGGTCTTCGTGAGCTAAAATATACATGCATGTTCAATTAAAGATGAAGGACTGTAGTAGAGAAAACCCCTTTGGATTAAGGGACGAGTCATTTTCTTCCAGAATCGAATGTTTTATATTGATATTACAGCAGATGATTTCACTGACGACTAAAAACACCTCTTTGGCTCGTCATTACAAATTTTGAAGTGGGCTACTCTTCTTGTCGGTCTGATGACCTTTCTAATCGAAGTCGTAACGATTTATAGAGATCCTGCCGTAAAGACGTCGTCGCGACGATGATGCTTCTTTGTAATTCAACGCCGTGCCGCACTCAGTTATAGTGCACCACCATAAATCAGTAAGTCGATTATGAGAAAAAGTTACCCCACTCGGATTTGACAGACTGTGCATGCCCCGTGCATGCCCCGTGCATGCCCCGTGCATGCCCAGCTGTCGTGTAGTATATGTATCAATACCGAGACACGAGCGGGTTTCACCATTCACAGTTTCATAGTAAATGTACAATACCGTAAACATCAATAAGGAAACTCGAACTATACTGTTTCCAAAATTCAAACCATTATCACCCTGTTCCTAGCTCAAGCAGCGGCTTCTCGTTTCCCTTTCAGCTATAGACTAAATTAAGGTACTTCGGACTACCCCTAAAAAATTTGTTTACTTAACCTTTACTCCGAGGTTTCGGGGGTTCATCATCATGTACGATTTAAATGCAGGTTGTCTAAAATGAGGTTGTCACCAAACGTGTGAGACCTGTATCACTTCGGACTTTCCTTTCACCTTTAGCAGACAGTCGTGACAGAATCTGAATACTGATCAAAGGGGCATTAAAACTCACTCACTCAACGAACCATTCACTCAATCTAGGGCTGTGCAGTGGCGTGAACCTGTTACACACAAATACTGTATTCCTCCCTTTGTCAGACAAGACCTAGAGATATAATAAGACTCAATTATTTTTCTATAAATCACCCCAAAAATCAGCAAATCAACCAAAAATGTTTCATAGGAACTTTTACAATACATAATATCAGCAGACATCGCCGCTAGTGCTGATCTTGTGTCAGTTTTTCACACTTAAACATAGCCTGGGAAAACCAGTTTGTTCCTATTTCCGACACACGTATATACATGCTCTTTTGTAGGGAATAAGATTTGACTGTTATCACAGGGTGGATTATTTGTAGGGTTGTTTCTAATTTGTTCTTCATAATGTCTGTAATATAGAAGGCCGAATGTTAGTAATTTCACATGCAGTAATTTTGGAATAACAAACGTTATATTTGTCCCTGTATAAACATTTCTAAGATGCTCTGCTAAAAGATCAAAAGGCGCCGACAGTACTTTATCAGGCGATAAAGTACACTATTTTGCATGACATCACACTGTATTGACGTCACTACGCCATTCTCGTCATCAAACGTACCCCTTGGTAACCGACGTGCATATCATTCGTCATCGCCTAGTACAGCCTTTTACAGTAAACTACTCCGGAGCACCCTGTTTCATGGTTTGCAGTTGCTTCACTCGGCTGACATTACTGGTGGAAACATTACGTTTATGTTTTTCGACTGATGAAATGTCTCAGTTCGACTCATAAATAAACAGCGACGCGGAAACGTCCGCAGCGTTTACATCCCCTCAATGCACCCGTGGAATGTCGCGTGACTAGTCAGCTGCATCTGGATGTACTGGTCTATACTAACGTTGGTAGTAGCAATGCGACGTTCATATTGCCCCATATGGTTTACGTTAATCACAGATGTAACCAAACTAATTAAAAGAAGATATTTAACCCGAACGTAAACCGTCATCAAATTGTTTATCATTTGTTTTTGTGGTAACGTGCGTCTTAACGTAGGGGGACCGCCTCCGTGGTGTAGTGGTTAGAGCGTCCGCCCGGAGAGCGGAAGGTCGCGGGTTCGATCCCCGGTCGCGTCATACCAAAAGACGTTAAAATATGGTACTTGTTGGTCTCAGTCTGGTGCTCGGCATTAATGTGTACAACAAGGACTGGTCGGCTCGGAGTCAGTATAATGTGTCTGAGTGGGGTATTCATGCTTAACTGCGGCATGGTATCTCAGTGAGCTAGCACTATAAAACCAGCTTAAGTCTGGGCTAGTACAAGCAGCCGCACATACACATACACACGCATGCACGTCGTCATATGAGCGAAATATTCTCAAGTACGACGTAAAACCCAATTTCACCTCACCTTAACGTAGGGGACAGACACGTCAATAGAACAACACGTCAGTTGGCCCTGAGCGAGGATTGCTAATTCAGGTCACCGACACCGTCGTTTTTCTGTTGGTTTTCTACCTTAAGTTAATTGTAATTAACCTTGGAAAGTATCAAATTTGGCATCTTAGAAAAGAAATACAATTCGCTCTACCACCATGCATATAACAGCGCTTTGTTAATGTACTCCAAAGAATACAAACGGCTGTGGGTTTTGAGGCCGAAACATATATTTTGGGTCTGTGTGTGAAACAATCAGAGAGAACATAAGGAAATATATAAAATGGAATCTAATAAATATATACATGCTTAAATTACTCATTCAGTCTATACACCTACTTGAATACCTCTGAACTATGTCACAAGTTATAGGATTAAACAATATAATATATAATGCCATGTTTTTGTCAGAATGGATTTCTTGCCCTTATAACCTTATAATACCCTGGTTATAATACCCTGGTTATAATACCCTGGTTATAATGCCCTGGTTATAATACCCTGGTTATAATGCCCTGGTTATAATGCCCTGGTTATAATACCCTGGTTATAATGCCATTTCTAGTCAAATCATATTACCTGAATATATATGTACATGTATCTTTCTCCTGGTCGTTAAAATTTACAGGGGATAGGGGCGGAAGTCTTACCTAATATTACATACACTAAACGCCAAAAGGAACGTTACCCTCCTTTCTTAATGACGGGGGTACCTATCTTCAGCTGGCGTTGTGATGCGTGGACGTCCACTTCTTGGTCTGTCTACGGGGACCCCAGTCTGTCTGAAGCCCTGAATAAGTCTTATAACCGTGATACGATGGCATCCGAGGGCGTTGGCAACGGCATTGTATGTCGACCCCATCTGCACCATCTTCAGCTGTTAATCGTGGCATATTTCTCGTACTTGTGTATCGTATCATGCATTCTAGGCTCTCTTTATACCCTACAGAATCATTCTACATGTGAAATGGATGCAAATACTGCTTGAATATTGCTGCGTTTTGGTGATTAATATTGCTATGTGTAAACAGAAAATGGAAAAATGTTACTTTGCAAGCAAAAATGTTAACAAAGATAATTTTAAATGTTCCCAAACATATTTTCACAATATCACAGATACGTTTTACTTGTTTTCACTAATGCAAATCAGCAGAAAATGTTTTAAAAGACTGAAATCATAGGAATGATTATTTGACAATTTTACACCCTCTACAACAGTCTTTAAATGGTTTATCTTTGTCTCAAACAAGATTTATATTTCAACCTTTCTTTTGGACATCTAAATCACTGTTATTGGTTTATTTCGGCATGGACGAAAATAGGACAATTTAACTCTTCTGAAAAAGATGCATTTCACCTAAATATGAATGCATTTGATAAATATTTTTCGTGATTTGCATAAAGCTGTGTTGTTCAGCTTTCTTGTAAACTAACACCTTCTAACATATCTTTGATAGTGATTAAGTAATTCGTAAATGTAGGAGGGTAATACTTCTTTTGGCGTTTAGTGTATATGTATGTCAACCAATGACACATACCAAACATACAGGCATGCATTCAAAGTGACTAGTCATTACTTGTATTTTGTCAGATATTTACTTGATTTAGGCTCGCATTCAATCTTTAAACATTACATATACTCACAATAACACAGTGATCTGATAGTTCATCTTCCACTATTAATATCTATAGGATATATTATATTTCAAGTAAATCAAGTCCGAATAACACGTTACAGTAAGTCATATTTCTAATTACAATAAAAAAGAAACTATCTATATATGCAACATTGTATACAATATGAACCTACCTTAAATCCTTATAAAAGTCCCATGGCTATAAATATATCCTTCCATCAGAAGTACAAGACAGCATCTGAGTTGAAAAAAATTTACATTGAAGTTAAGCTGTGGCCAGCTTGGAGTATTATAACGTAAAAGGGACCTTGTACGTTAACTATAATAGTTCAGGGCAAAAGTGTACTTTATTATATTCTATATGGTGGTTGAGCGAACTGTATTTCTTAATTACGGTTGCTTCATTTACGCGATGAACCGTGTTAAATGTTGTTTTTGAAAAATCGACTCAAAAGTATTCTTACATATGAATAAGCCATTTCTAAAATTTAAACGTTGCTTTTTCCACGCTTTACTCGAGGATGCAAATTGAAATGGATCTAGTAATTGCGAAGCCCATTTCAATAACATTTCCTAATTGAATTCAGGTTTAAATAGGTTTAAACTATTCGGTTGTAAACTACAGATTGTAGTTGTTTTTCTATGCATAAAAAAATTAATCCGTTCAATTTTGTTTTCATTAGACATACCATGTCTGTCAAAGTGTATTGTGACATATTGTATGAGCGCTTCGTTTGCTCGACATACCGGAAGTTCAAGAGTTATGGAAGGGAGATAATTCATTTCAAGATGACTTTCTTTCGAGTGAGTATACAATATCTGACCTCTACAGCCTAAATATCTCGTAATTCAACTCTCTATGGTAGAACAGTAACTAATTCTAAGCGCAGTTAATTTAAACAGATATATACCATATTTTCAAGTGATATTATGACTATGTTTTAACTAGAACATCGAAAATACTGAAAATATTGAATATGTGGAAAAAGTAATGTGGGCTTTGAAATTGCTACCTTTCAGTATCACACACACGTTCACATCTCAATCAGTTTGATTTATTTCACATTCATAGCACGTATGGTACTCACCCGCCAGTACACATATTTAACTATGTAAACTGGCAGTATTCACATTATTCAGCAAGCATAAATATGTCCCCAAATCATCTTTGGTCACAACATAGCCATAGGTTATTATTGTTGTTAACTTTATCAGCTGTTTAGAGACCGTTCATAAATTATGGCTAGGGGGTGGGGTGAGGGTGGTAATGATTTTTATTGAGAAACATGTACAATGTGAATGAATGACCCCCCACCCCACAAGAAATATGTACAAAGTGACACCTCCCCACTTCATGTCATATACAAAATCAATGGTGACCCCCCTAGTACATGCGTACGAAATTGATGACCCCCCTCCCTAAAACAAAACGGGTGTTGCATCACACAGACATTGTAAACCCTTGAATGATGTTAGTGACATGTTTTGCAATTGTTTATGTGATAATCAAGACAACAAAAGATGTTCTAAAGTTCTGAACCCATAACACGAGGAGAATATTTGTGAAACTTCTATGTTTTCTTTAGCGCATTCGAGGGCGCCATGTAGGAGTGCTATGTGTAGCAGCAGGAGTACCTGCCCTGGCCATTCCTACTGTCCATGCAAGCAGTGCTTCAGAGGGTAACAAAGTCAAGATCTCACAGGTAAGACAGTGTACAGATGCAACATGTTATATTTGGGATTACACTTTGTACAGATGGCAATAACAGCATGAGGGATAACATCCAGCTGCAGTATTTTATTTAGCCAGCCTAAACACTGTTTATCATTGCGTTATAAGTGATCATGGTGAGGACTTTGTGAGGGAATTTTACATTCTCCAATATATTTCATCATATAATCAGTCAAAACTGGTTGCATTTTCAGTTGGTATTTCTGAGATCATGATTATGGGATGTCAGATTTTAACATGATCACTTACACATCAAATATATTCTGTCTACCGAATCCTGGAGAATATATTAAACAGGGCTCCAGATAAGGGCCATATCGGCGTATGTACGGATACAAAATATGCACGATACGGTAGCAAATAATTTAGAAAACGTAGCAGATACGCATCACGGCAATGGTGTACGGTCTTTGAATCATTTACAGGCGTATTTATCTGAAAAAGTATTGTTTTATATTGACCTGTTTACACAAGAGTAGCGATGTTGTGGTGCATATATGAAACAAAACACAAGATTACTGATACGCCATTAAATTCCACTCAGTACTCTAAATATACTCTTATGGTTTTCCAGTACTCCTGTAGTGAAAAAATATGGTGTACGTACTCCTGATGTTGAAAATTTATCTGGAGCCCTGTATTAAAGACAGAATCAAGCGGAATGATTTAGTACGTCTTGACTGCCTAACTCTAAGAATCTGGCATTGTTCTTGGTTCAAAATGGATTTTGTTTTGTAGGTATATTTAAAAAAAAATCCTTTCATCAGTGTTGTTATTGATATTGTTGTGCATAAACTTGTACCAGTAACCTATCATCTCAACATGGTATATCACTGAATAAGCCCTGTGATGTTTAAGTTTTCAGTATTTCTTTTACTAAAGATAGCCTCCTGCATTAGTGCATTTTTAGTAAGAGGTGTGGGTTGGTTGTCTCCCTTCTCATGCATGTAAAGGTAGTCAGTGAATGCGAATACCTGTGTTTGTCAAGATATTATTCTTCTTTCAATATTTCTGTAGCAGTTTTTCACGCAAATACATTGAATACATTGGTAAGAGGAAACTGTCTTTTAACTTCCATTCCAAGCTACTTGGTACTGTCGGGATTTAAACACATGGGACAGACAGCAATGCCTAAACTGTCTACAGTACTTACTATGATCTGCTAAGAGCTGGTATGTGACATATCACAGTCCTCATCAGTCAGCATCTTGTAGATTTAGGAACAGGGCGAACAGTGCCCAGTGACATTATGGCCACTTTTACAAGTCATTGATACCAGGAATAAGGTCATGTGACAACATTGCTGTTAGGTACTTTCATAAATGTCTGTCACCAACTGGTCACTGTCACTACCGGTAATCTAACTGTGTGAATATCTGTCAGTTGCCTTGTCAGGCAAACAATCCAAAGGTTGCAAGTTTGAGCCCAACACACTCTCACAAAACCTTTTTTTATGTGATCTACAACAGAGTTCGCCCTTGCAACAATTTTTGCTCTTAAATTCTAACGGTGCCCCAGCATGTTTTCTGACTTCAAGTTATCGTGGGGATGGTGGAGTTGAATAGTGGTCAAAGCATTCGCTCATCACACCAAAGACCCGGGTTCGATCCCCCACTTGGGTACAATGTATGAAGCCCATTTCTGGTGTTCCCTGCCATGATATTGCTGGAATATTGCTAAAAGGAGCGTAAAACTAAACTTACCTACCCACTCAAGATATGATGTGTTTCAGCTCCCTATGTATGATGTGCCAGAGAAGAAGTGTGAATACACCTATGTAGAGGCTCCACCATCTAGTCTCCAGGAGTCCATCTCCACTGTCAGACAGGCAGTGTGGGACTATCTAGACTCTATAAAGGTAGGCTTAATGGGGTGCTGTGGAGATTCTGGTTACAGTATATCCCAAGCAACTTATGCTTGCATGTGGGGATCGGGTGGTCAGGCTCGCTGACTTGGTTGACACATGTCATCGGTTCCCAATTGCGCAGATCGATGTTCATGATGTTGATCACTGGATTGTCTGGTCCAGACTCGATTATTTACAGACCGCCACCATATAGCTGGAATATTGCTGAGTGCGGCGTAAAACTAATCCAACTCACTCACTCACTTGCATGTGGTGTGGTGAATTATTGGAGTGGGTGGAGTTTGGTGTATGTCTCTGTGACTAGGTTGATGGTGTGTCATCCTACCCTGACACTATGTCATATTGCTTATAATACTCATTACACGTTTGTCTCGTCCTGACTCGATTCATCACAGCATGCAGTTGTATAGCTGAAACATACAATGGGGCATCCTCGATATTCTCCAGGGTATATGCATAAGGTTTCAGACCTGTCAATTTGTCTATATGATTTTTTTCCTTAAATCAGAGTCACACAGCGAGCAAACCTTTGTGGCTGTGGGTGCCATCTTTGTTGACACTGACAAGCTCGGTTGTAACGGCTTATCTGATTGGCTACTGTGAGAAGGCAGACCCAGCAAAGGGAGATAAAATTATTGGGCCGAGACGTAGATGCACCCAGGGTACTAGTGGAGATTTATCGGAACATATACCCTGGAGATTATCGAGGATGACAATTGGGGTGATGGTGTTTTGTTATGGACACAGCACTCTCTTACACTGTCCAGTTCAAAATCAAATTAAATTCCATTCATGAGCATGATTACTACTGTGCAGTGTTACTGTATAGTGAGATGGAGATGATGGTGTCACTTTCTAACTTTCTGAACGAAGATATTTTAGTAAAAGCATCCAGAGCGTTTATCATAACAAAATTGAGATCTGATAATAACAGAATACCGAGAATGACTGGTCAACAGCTATTCATGATTCTTATAGAAATTTCTAAGTGACGACTCGTCACGATATGGCTGAGATATTGCTGATGTGACGTTAAATATTAACTCACTCACTCTAAGTGACGAAATACATTTTGTATGAGAATGATATCAAATTTAATTTCATTGACAAAAATATTATTTTGGTCATGCAGTGCGATCATTGACAATTATAATCTAATGTACATTTTCCGGAATGTTGATAATATACCCATATTGTTCCCATTGTACTAAACATGGCGAATGATTACCTCTGTTCCAGGACACAACAAGTTCCGTGAAAGACAAGATACAGATTGGCAAGGCACACACAATGGGTAGGCCACGACCATAGGGTTTATTCATTTCCTCAACTCTAAATAACAAGAATATTACAGAGTTTTAACAAAAACAGTGTCGTTCAAACAGAGGTTTCAAATCATCTCTTTTAATACTTTTCAAAGATTTTGGCTCTTAATGAACAATGATGATGTCATAGGGACTTGTAATGCAGCTTTTCTCCAACTGCGACATCAGTCTCTGAACACTAAATACCTAGAATTTCCAAATTTGTCCATCTTTAAGAAACTCTTGTCTACTACCAGCATAAGCGACCTTAAAGGCCTTTCTAAATTACTGAATCATATATTTAATGCATTTAAAAAGTGAAATATTGTTGTTATCTTATATCTTGCTATCGTGTAAGCTGCTGTCTTGTATATTATGTAAATGTATATACGTTTATCTCATGTACCGCTGTTGGCGGTTTGTAGAGAATAAAGAGTTTGAGTTTGAGCAAACAAATAGCATCTACAGGATACATGGTTCCAAGGATCAATAACTAGTACTGACTGGTGGGGACCATATACAGTGTAGCTGCTATTGTTTGCACTGCCAGTTCTCTGACTGAGTGTTGTCTGTCAAACATGAAAATAGAACTTTATTACTCACCCGTTGAAGATATCACTGTTTAATAATTTTACTATGTTATTACACATTGTGTAATAACATCGCGTGATGCCGTACGTATGACGTTAAAGTGGTTTACAGTTATGACGTCACAATGCTAATACCTCTGTCACAATAGTATTAGACCTTGCTTGACTCACGGAAAGCTGAGAGTCATTACACTCATTTGCTCGATATTATTTTGCTAATATTGCGTGAGTAATAAATATAATACTCGCTTTCGCTCGTTAGATACCAAACCATTCACTCGTTTCATAAGTATGGTATTACACGGGACATCGTTTAGTATTCTCTATGTATTGCCCTCTGTGTGTGTTTGAAGTAACCTTGTACATGTGTGCTGTCTGGTGTCTTCAGAATTTGTGACCTACATACAGGAGGACCCCAGTATTCTGCCCAAAGCTAGTGTTATTACAGTGGCCGGACTTGGAGGGGTTGTGGCAGGCTACAGAGGTATGTAAACCTTGAAAAATACTGCACTGTGAAATAACGCAGTACATGTACCTGACAAATAGCTGTATCTCTTCAGTAGATTCAGGTGTAGGGAAGTTGTTACCCCATAGTTAATGATTGTAGTCCATTTTAAAAATACTTTGACTAAAACTCAAAATGTGCTGTGTGAAACATTTTTAAGAAGCAGTCTAGAATAACTGTTTCTGATTAGGAACCCTGTTGTATGTCTCAGTTGTGGTTAACTGACATTCGAACCAGAACATTCTGTATTCTTCTTGTACTTATTGAATAACAAGAGACAAATCACAGTGTGGCAACGTACTTTGAGAGGGGGTGAAAAGCTGCTGGTTCTACACCAGCAATATATGGACAGAAATATAAATACAGACCTGTGCAAAAAGTATTCGGACACTTGACGTAATTTCCATAGACTTACGTGTTAATTTAGTGTAGCATTAATTTTCATGAATTTAATTTTCGTAAGATCCAAGTCAACTTTTGCACATTTGTGAGGAATCATCTTACCTACAATCACATAATTTCTGCTTAATTTTCCGTTGCTTATTTATCGAATGGCAACAATTTCATCAACATATGTACAGTGCCGTGAACTCCTTTAACATGGCGGCCTATGGGATTGTGCATTGTGGAAGTTGGAACCATACATAAGCTGATAAATGTGATGTCATTAGTTAAATAGTGGTCAGAAAATTGAACTGAAATTATGTGCGCAGAGCAGACATGATTTCCAATTTGCCTGTCAATTTTTACAAAGATCCATCCTAAACTCATGAAAATTATTTATGCTACACTGAAATAACATGTAAGTCTATGGAAATTACGTCAAATGTCCGAATACTTTTTGCACGGGTCTGTATTTATATTTGTGTCAATATATTACTGGTGTAGAACCAGCAGCTTTTCACCCCCTCTCAAAGTAGATTATGTCATTAATATATATATTTTATTTATGGGACTGAAATCTGAAGTGTTAATTCCTACTGTACACAATCTACAAGTGAGAGTGATATTTGTCATTTTAAGAAATCAGCTGTGTAGTAACCACGGGCTTGTAATGCAAAAATTGACAGCTGGAACAGTTCGGACACGGTCCATTTAAAAATGATTGACAAGTTGGTAGTACAAATTCTAGGCTGAGATTTGGTGTAAAATAGAAAAATAACAATATTTTGAATTTCTGAAGATGCTAACTCCCAACCAATCGATTTCGATTTTGTTCATTCATGTCTCATTAAGTAGCTATATATGTCTTGAAGCTACTATTCTACTTGCATGACTAGTCACTCTGAAAATTACAAGGGTGGTATGTTCAGAAATAGAAGATACTGTTATTGTACATTTGTTGGCCTGTTTCAGGTGGATTCCTGCGGAAGATCGTCCTTAGTGGAAGTGCAATGACTGCAGCCGCGGCACTGTGTTACCCTAATGAGGCTGTTACCATGTCAACACAAGCATATGATGAGGTGTATGGCTACGGTCGGTCATTGTGGGAGGGTGACTGTGAGTACTTGAGTCTTTCGACCAGGTATTGAATATATTAATATAGCTCACCTGGCTGAGAGTCAAGGGACTTAAATCTGTATCTGATATTGGTCACTTCCAACCCCTATGTTCCATGCTAACCCCTACCCAAACTTTATTTTGTTCATTGTCCCTTCCCCTTAAGTATAATTTATCTAACAGCCATTCTGTTTGCAAATGTGTTTAAAGTGTCTGTCATTTTAACTTGTGGATTACCTTTCCAGGTGAGTTTCAGAGCCCTTGGCACTATTGTTTGTTTTGACTAACCCAGCGCCTTGAGCATGCACTAGTGCCTGGATATGTGCGCTACACAAATATCCTATAATAATCAATAATAATAATGTATTGATGTGTATTATTTGTTTCAGCATCCGCATCTGATTCTGGCTCAGCCCAACAGGTAAGTTGGGATCAGAACACACAATTATTTGAGGAAACAACTATTTTACAAATCCTATTGAGATCCGGGGTAGAATTTGTCCATAACACCCAACTGCTAGTTTTAAGAGGCAACTAACATGTGAAGTCATTTTCTGGTGTCACCTATTGTGATTCAATACCATGAAGCCAGAGTTGACTATGTGTCTGTCAGTCACTGTGCTGTGTTTATGACCATGTATTGATTACAGGTGAAGCCAGCCAGTGAAGTTAGCCAAGTGAAGCCACCAAGTGGCAGCCAGGTGAAGGTGGACCCAAGCCTGCAGGATCACGGACAGTCAAAGGCCGAGGACAAGGACCTCTACACCACTAGGGGGAGCAAGTGATGACATCAACCATTAATACTCTGTAGTGACGATGTGAATGTGTATAAAATATGTACAGTGTATCGAGTTGAGCCTTCTGTTTGCCATGAAACTGTGCCATCATCTTCTGCATACAATGTGTGAAGCCCATTTCTGGTGTCCCCCGCCGTGATGTTGCTGGAATATTGCTAAAAGCGGCGTAAAACCAAACTCAGTCAGTCAGTCATCTTCTGCAAGATGCCATGCAGAGTTACATCCCTTGGACATGCTATGAACCCAGATTGTGAGATTAATACAGATTATGATTCTAGGTTTGTCAGCACAATACTGGTTGCATGAAAGTTGATGGTGAGATCTGCTATCTGCTCCCATTTAGCCGAAACACTGTTATAAAACTGAAATGCTGTTCAAGCTGTGTTGATGCCATCTGCCGCTCATGTCCCCATTGACAAAGAAAATCATAAAGCATTGCATTAATTCATTGCATTGTTTTATTTTTCAATAAATATAGCTCTCTCAATGAATATGTTAAATAACTTAACACAACACAACATTTGAAATACAGACATGAACAAGACATTTCCAAGTGTAACATACATATCACAACATAACTCAGTATTGTGAATGCCCTGACATAATATCTGCAGGAGCCGCTTCACAATAGCAGTGTGGGTCTTGCTGACAATGAGACAGATAACATACAGTAGAATGCATGTTCATGGCCTGTATGCATAACGCATGCCTTCATGGATAAATCATTAGCTACTTGTCTGATTCATACGAGACATATGGAAGAGTTATTCTGCAAGTGATATTTGTTAGGGTCATACTTATGTGTGAGAGCTCTGATCATGGTCAGACAATTTTAAATTGGTTAGCATACCAATATGGAATGCTTGAGAACAATACCAACAGAATATTATTTACAGTAAATGCTTTAGATATGACCCATTTCTGTCAATACCAGGCATGAATTAGGAATCATTGGTACAGACAGCGTTCGAAATACCTGCCTGCCTGCCCGACCGCCCGGGACAGGTTATTTTCAACACGGACTGCCAGATTCTCACAATCACCTGCCCGACGGTCGGGTTAAAATTTAGACATGTACGTGTATATGAAGATATTTTGTGGGCAGGTAAGTTTTACATCTAACCAGCCCTGTGGTCTGGCTGAAATTTTTTGGAAGTTTCATACACTGGTACAGAGTAATGTCCCTTTGGGTATAGTGACATTATTGTCAGAACTGTTTTGAAGGCTGAATTTTGGAATTTCGAGATGGGTTTGATTGGGTAACACTGTGTCCTAGTTACACCTTCAATTTATCTTGGAAACATACATGTTGTAGTAACCCTATTCTGAGATCTTGTAGATGCCCATACATACTCAGTCACCCAGTACGTACATACACTTTATCTAGTGCTACCATGTGTTACAAGCACACCTGTGGAAACTCGGGGATGTCTTGGGATGTAGATGGAAGAAGGACTGATTTTGTTACCCTTGTCGCATTTCCTTTGAACATTTATGTTTTAGCTAGGCACATACTGAATATTACAGTCTATAAGGTGGGTTTTACCTAGAATTAGAGGATATTGTAGCAAATAGGAGCATTTATTATGCTAGTTAAAGTGCACATTGAAGCAAGGTTGACTGAGCAATGTTGGTTTGAATTATGATATTATGTAAAATTGTAGAGAATCTGGTTATTTACTTGACTGACACAGACAATAGAGTGGAATCAAAGCATTGAATAACATACTGTGGCAGATCACTGGTAAATATACTTACACAGACGATATAGCATAGTGAACTAAAAATCCTACTTGGAACAATTAATACAAGACACAAGAATATAGAACATCTGATTAGGTTAGCTTAGAATTGAAGAATGGGAAGTACAAGTACATGAGACATGTTGTCAGTTAAACAATACATTCTGAATATGACTAGAGAAAATAGTGGTAACCCCCCACTCAAATAAAGCTCTTTGATGGACTTACTACCGGTAGTATGGTGCATAGACTGACTACTGGTAGTACGTCCATCAAACAAAGAGCTCAATGTGTGTAGCATAGGAGTTTCATCAATTAGTAATCTTGAAAATAGTCTCAAGTAAAGAAAATCACCCAGCTCATAATACATTATACATGGTGTCAATATATGATGTATTTCAATTTTAAAAACCATAAATAGTTCTGATGAAAATAACATTTTAAGGATGAATTCTGAAATGTGAACTGTCTTTCAAAATGAAATGAAACACCACTTAAATATTCTATCTCATATATTCGAAAGAAGTTCTTCACTCAACGAAACAGATTGTCATATCAGTAAACTGCAAGACAACATCAGATCTAGGTTTCTGTGTGAATATAGAGAATATGTTTTTGTGTAATGGTTTTGGATTGTAATGATTCTACAACAAAGCTCTGTACACTAAGGGTAAACAGACCTCTACATCTAGCCTCTAACAATGAAACTGGCCAACAACAGTAACAAACTAGATCTTCTTTCACATATCGTCCACCACTCTCTACACAGTTATTATCTAACACAACACTCGACCTCAAACATTTACTTTCTTTTCATCAGGAATGGTTATGAAATCTTTAGTCCCCCAAATAACCTGGTGTATATTGATGTCTGGAATCCTAATGCAACAATTAACCTCAAACATTTACTTTCATTTCATGAGCAATGTTTATGAAATCTTTAGACCCCAAAATAACCTGGTGTATACTAGTGTCTGGACACGGATATTAATAGGAGCAAAAGAATTTTTTTCTTGAAACATATTTTATACCTCCTGTGCAATGGTTCATAAAATCTGACCTAACAAGACAAGCACCTTTACCACATCCATATGAATGGATATAACCATCCTCACTGATTACTACCTTTCTTAATCAAGTAGAAATGAAGATAGCAAGCGTGTTTGTGCGAAGCATCTGCTAACTCCAGGTAACGTCTAGTTTTGTCGTCAAGCAGTGAGGGAATAAAACAAGAAACCATGGTTATATCATGCAAAACTTTTCATTTCACAGATGCACGGATACATTTAGATGAGGTTATGCTTTCAATATTATATCACAGACACAACCTAATTTTTGCAGACATGAACACAAAAACTCTATTAATTTTATAGTTGGATGATGACAGTAGAGTACAGACCTACACTTTACCTCTGACTAGACTGTCACAATCATGCACAGATATAGACATATTTGTAGTTGTGGTGAAAGTGAGGACAGTTAGATATACCAAGTACATTAAGTAAGATGGGAAGTGAAGCAAAACCTAAATGTCTATCTGCTGGGTTTACTGTTAGTTCAATGATACATAAATATAGGTCTGGTATCACTATCAGTTGTGGCAAATCAAGTGTCTGAGCTATTTTGTGGTACTACTTGTAGTCTATAAGGTTTACTAGTTGGTATGGCTCATCTTTACACTTAGCAATCTCTCAGCTAGATCACAGCTGGAGGTACCAAGAATACTCTTAACACATGTACCATGTAGGGAATCAAACCCAGGCATTTGATGCGATGAGTCAACGCTTCATCAATCAGGCTACATCGTTATCTTCAAAAGGGGACGTTTTCTAGTTCATATTTCATGCTCAAGAGTGTTGAAATCCGACAGTGATGAAATGTTACTGAAACGGTGATTCTTGGCACAGGACTACGCTTCAGTGGTTAACACTATTATAACATCCAACTTTTTCATTCATTCATAAACAGTGGTTTACGGAGGACTACTTTTAGAGCACAAAGCCCCTCTAGATTTTCACTGTCTTCTACTAATAGATTAGGGGCTGCAGATACTAATGTTATTTAATTTAGCAAGAGACAGTGAATAACATTGTTAGAGAAGTTATTTAGCAGGGGAAGTTGCAATAGTTCACTTAGCTGTGAGTCAAAGATTAACAGATGGATGTTTCAGTATATTGGAATCAAAGCTTTAAACTCCTTTTTTTTTCTTTCTAAAAGAGGTATATTCTTGGATGACTGTAAATATGACGCCATCAGATGTTCAACCAAGATGACACCTCTAGAAAGATTTGTGATGGAAATATATATTGTTGTTAAGTATCTACATATACTATATAACAACACAACAACTGGAATCGCATCCCTTATTAAGTAGTATATGTGTTTGTTGGCAACAAAGTGTACCCCGAAATTCAAACCTTACCCACCCATGAGCCCTTGATAAGATAATGTTAGTTTACATGGTGATTCCTTTCCCTGTAATAAATGACCTTCTGAAAGGCCATTTCATTTCTTAAAATTGCACTAAAGAATATTGCACAGGTTTTGATGGATTAAGTGACCCATGGGTTAAAGTGGTCCATGGACGTGAAGGACCAACAGAGATATTTGGCTATGGGTTTATAAGATATGGAAGCAGTAACTGTTTCACTCAGTCACTGTCGTAGTCATCAAAGTTTTCGCCCTGGACTATCTCAGACTGGTGGTAACGTCCTCTGTTGGCAAAATCTTCGTTGTCTGCCGTCAACTGAGCTGCAAGAGTTTGAACGGCAGGTGTCTTCGGAGCCACGATGATGTGTTCTTGGGGATCTGGTCCACGTCTGAAATATGGCGTTGTTATAGGTTAAGAGTGAGTGGGTGAGTGAGTATGGTTTTAAACCGCTTTTAGCAATATTCCAGCAATATCACAGTGGGGGGACACCAGAAATGGGCTTCACATTGTACCCATTTGGGGAATCAAACCCAGGTCTTCGGCCTGACAAACAAACGCTTTAACCACTAGGTTACCCCACTGCCCGTCATAGGTTAAGAGAAATTGATTCTATGCAAATGAGCATTATGACATGTAAAATAATCTCATCGTAGTTTCTGTAACTTGTATAGCTGAGGGTGTACCCTGAAGGGAAGCTGTGAGGAACCAATCTAGTATTATATTTGAAGATGCATGTCACCTGGGTGTATATGAGTGTTTGGGAACTGAGTTTGGGGCATTGTGCTAGGAATTCAAAACTGCATTAAAAAGTGGTGCTCAGTTTGTTGCCAAATAGACATAGGAAACAGCACAGATTGTAATGAATATGATCTCCTCACCTGCAACATCTTAGGATGCCATTTTTAATCCATTCATACAAGTTGAACTCTGCAATACCTGTACAGGGAAGAGAAAATGGCATTAGATTTTGTCTATGATTCACATGGACCAATCTCATTAAACCCAGATCTTTTATCCCGTTATGATACCTTTCTATGGGAAGGTTGGATGATATAACCCTGACCGAACCATAACCTAACTGAAAAGAAGAGCTGGTCGGTTCTTGACCCAATCATATGTCCCCTTTCTACAGCAGTTAAGCTGACTCACCTGAGAAGGACCCCCTGCCTCTTTTGTTATTATCCCCTAGCTAACTCACCTGGGAAGTAGCCGGGGCTGGAGTGTCCGATGTAGAAGTATACAGCGAGGAAGGCTGTGATTTCCCCGAGAGCGTACACCCACTGGATGGAGAACATGATGATCATGCAGACCATGGTCTGAAACAATACAACAGTGTTACACAACAAGTACTTCTTCTAGCACATCACTGTCAGTGGAAAGGAATCTTGTCATAGGAAAATGTCCTTCCTTCGTAAGGTCAGACCAGTTGTCTTTCTTTGTCTTTCTTTCTTTCGGATATGTAAGAACAAACTGGTTGGATGGAGAAGAAAAAACAAAGAAAGAAAATACAGATACTTTTCATATACCACTACTCCGAGCCATATTCTGCGACTCTCAGAAGCAACACCGCTTGAAACTGTAAATCTGACCAGCCACAGCATATGGCCATGGCATTTTGAATTACCAACTGTGTCAGTGAACTTCATTTCAGCTGTATTCTTCATTAAACACCAAGTCTGTTTTGTGACTGTTGGTCCAAAGTATTTGTGGACATTGCACAAAACAATTACAAATGCCAGAGTACCAAATTCATACATGACAAATGGCCTTGACTAGGAGCCATTTCAGAAATGCAAAAATGTTCATATGACAGTAATGAGCAAGAAGTGACTGGCAGAGACTGCAGGCATCCAGTGAAGTCTTCTGCCATTCTGCTGATTGCAAGTGACAACTGCATAAGAACTGCCTCACTTCCATCGAGAAAGTACACTTTATTTTTGTGATGTCGGCAAGTTATTAATTCTATCATGTTTCATTGATTGTTTTTACAAATCAAGGGATATCAGTCAGGCAGATCTGTAATTGACATGACAATTTATGCTTGTAAATTATTTATGGAAACTGTAATGCTTCAGTCTCTGTCTACTTGGCAGTAGGGTTGGGTAAAAAAGATTCATAATCAGAAATATGGTTGATGGGAAGAATGATTAATAGACTTTGTTATTATCTTCCATAAACTATTGTGATAAAGTAAGGGTGAAACTGAAACAGACACAAAGTTACATCTTTATTCATGGGCTTTATGTTCAAAATGATGTTTTGTTGCTAATCCCTGCATAAATATGTCACGACTCACTACTGATGTGAAATATGTAGATTTCTTTTCTGACTTTTCCCCATATTTCCAAAAAGTTCCTCCTCTGATATTTATTGATAATTTATTGATATTCATCAACCTCTATGACCTATATCAACACCCAGCCCAACATGGCAGATGGTGTTGAGGCCATGGGGTCATGTACTTCCCACAACGTCCTCCCATCCCCCTGTACTTACCCCCAGGAGAGACAGCCATCTGTTACACAGCACAGAGTACCATGACCTCGGCTGTTTTGTGATCTCCGTGTTAGGCAGTTTCTTAACACCTGGGGAAACAACAGATGGTGTTAATGAGCACATTCTGACAACAACTCTGGAGATAGCACCAGCATAATTAAACATAATCAGTCCACAGAGAAAAGAACATGGACAGATTGTAGATGGCAAAGTGTTGGCAATATCTCTTCAGGTGTCATTACTGCAATATATAGGTATCATTGTCCACCACAAGTGATGCTCGGCTAACAGGGATGGGTTTCAGTGCCCCTTGCTGGCGGCTATCTTGATCACTATCCTCTAACATCAATCTGTTATCTTCATCTATATCACCTTTGTCATATTTTCAAATACTTGCTCTCGGATATCAGGGTTTATCTCTATATTCTGGATGGAAGTCTGAAGTGAAACAGGTTGTAGGATGCACAATGGCAGACTTGGTTAATAGGACGCTCACTACAGGTCATACATAATCAAGGACACGCTGGTATTCAAATATGCTGGCAAACTGAAACTCAACCCTACATGTCTTACCTTGATGGAGGCTGAAAAATGATGATAAGTTTATGGATATACAACTTCTTTATTCTGTGAAAGGCGATGTTTCGACATAGATTCTAATGTTGTCATCACTTGCTTGACAACACCATGTTTCGACAAAGATTCTAATGTTGTCATCACTTGCTTGATAACACCATGTTTCCACATAGATTCTAATGTTGTCATCACTTGCTTGACAACACCATGTTTTGACATAGATTCTAATGTTGTCATCACTTGCTTGACAACACCATGTTTCCACATAGATTCTAATGTTGTCATCACTTGCTTGACAACACCATGTTTCCACATAGATTCTAATGTTGTCATCACTTGCTTGACAACACGATGTTTCGACAGATTCTAATGTTGTCATCACTTGCTTGACAACACCATGTTTTGTCACTTGCTTGACAACACCATGTTTCGACATAGATTCTAATATTGTCATCACTTGCTTGACAACACCATGTTTCGACATAGATTCTAATGTTGTCATCACTTGCTTGACAACACCATGTTTCAACATAGATTCTAATATTGTCATCACTTGCTTGACAACACCATGTTTCGACATAGATTCTAATGTTGTCATCACTTGCTTGACAACACCATGTTTCCACATAGATTCTAATATTGTCATCACTTGCTTGATAACAGCATTAGAATCTATGTCGAAACATCGCCTTTCACAGAATATAGAAGTTGTATATCCATAAACTTATCATCATTCTTCATCCCATCAAAGCCCATCACAGAAATTGGTCGAGGCTGTGAATTTGATTAGTCTGTACAATTGGTAGTACAGATACGAGTTTGTTCGATAACTAATAATATTTAGCTTTTCTTCTTAATAAAATCTTTTTTTTTTCTGACAGATAAGATGAATTACAGATAGTATCATTGCATTCTAATTGAACAATATTCTACACAACCGGCAAGCATGTTTAGAGTGCTTGTAGCCTCAGTGCAGTGTTCAGAGTGCAGCCAGTGCGACTCTTACATATGAAATTCCTCAATGGTGCGAAATAATATATATCACTTCACCCAAAGTATATCGCTCCACCCAACGTTAGCATTCTGGTATCCCTATTTTAAATGTACGATCCTATTTTAGGCTACTGGCTTTTATTCAACAATAAGGTTAATTATTTTAGCAAATGGAATACATAAATCATTTCTTATAGCCTATAACACACTTGGTTAGCTTTAAGAAAGGTTTAATGATAGGTTTTAAATAAATTGACACATTTTGATTTGACTGACTGAGTTTGGTTTTTACGCCGCTTTTAGCAATATTCCAGCAACATCACGGCGGGGGACACCAGAAATGGGCTTCACACATTGTACCCATGTGGGGATTCGAACCCGGGTCTTCGGCGTGACGAGCCAACGCTTTAACCATTAGGCTACCCCACCGCCCCCATTTTGATTTGAAACCGAGTATCCCTTTCACATGTCACATCTGAGCATTGCTTTCTGTTACTGCATAAAACTGTGCCTGCAGGGAAAAATACTGAAGGAAGAGACTTTTCTAATGTCAGGAAGACGGAACTATTTTTGAAAAGTGAATAAATACAATGTGAAAAATATGACACTGACAAGTTGAATTCCGATGGAAAAGTGAAAAGTGAAACATACTTTTAAGTCTCATGTCTTTATTAGGGCTGGGACAATTCACCGATACATCTCGATACATTTAAGTTTGATACAGCTATCGTATCATGGACTGGTGTATCGATACAAAATGATTGACAACTTTTTTTTAAAACAGTATTATCTTAATCATGTTACAGTACTTATTTAGAGAAAAATACGCAAGTATGATGGAGTTACTTGTTTGTTTATTACAATAGTGTTATTGTTATACACAAATACCTTGAAATAAATCATTTTAAATCTTGATACCGTGTCATTCTTTCAAGGTGTATGTATCGTGATACGTATCGTTATCCGAATCGCAGGTAAAATATCACGATATGTATCGGATCGTGACATAGTGTATCGTCCCAGCCCTAGTCTTATTTTAAAAAATACTTGTGTACCCCATTTTCATCAAATTTCAAATGTTCCTAAGTCTTAGAAAGGTAGGAGTCACTGAGCTCCACTTTTCCTGTTATTAAATAAACATGCTGGTGGAGATCAGGCTTAATTCTTACCTAGCAACTGAGAAGTGTCAGCATCATCACCCTTCTCTGATGTGGCATCAACCGATATCTTCCTCTTCGTGGCATCAAAGTCTGCCTCAGGCGTTGTGACATTACTGCCGCTATTAGTACTGGTTTGTCTCACCAGGTGGTGCTGGCCCCGCTGCGCAAGACGCTCGGGAAACAGTTTGTCAAGGTCATTAGCCAGTTTTTCAAACGAGTCTTTATGAGTGGTCACATCAACTGATTTCCCGGTAGCCCCGTACCCGATACCTCCGTTAAGCAGTTCACTGTCAGCACTGTACTTGCGTACCTTATCCCCATATCCGGAACCAGTGTGAGTAAACCGGGCATCTCTGTCTTTGCGACGGTCATAGCTCATGGCCAGAGCGAAGTAGGAGTAATCTATAGATGCGTATGTCAACATGAAAGCTGTTGTGACCACCGGCGCCAATGTGTTCACCTGCCCCACACAGATGAATAGCAGCACTACCAGGGTTATCACGATCAGTGCATACACTGGAACCTTGTTGGGTCCTCGCTGAAAATAAAACAGGTGCTTTAAATATCACTGATTATTCTTTCACGCATGAGCATTTGTGCAGATATTTGCGACATACTTAAAAAATAATCTTGTAAGCAGTGATATGTTTAAAACGTGAACTTTAGCCATAAAGTATGAACAGTACCTTAAAACAAAACCAATAGACATAACTTGCAATAAGACAACAATAAAATTAAAGTATATTGTTTGTTTGTTATTGCTGTTTAATATTTAACTCAGAAAGACAAAAGAAGTGATTGATATTGAGGGCAATGATACAAGCCATCAGGATACAATAATTCAAACACAAGGCCTGATTATGTGATTCATTTGGCAAGACACCTTTTCTAATCAGCAATCCCCATGAGGGTAATCTGGATCTGACAAAGGCACTTTCTCCCTGTGTATGGAATACTGTGATGTGTCAAATGGGAGACCATGATATGGTAAGATGGTGAGACAACTGTCAAGGGACATACTTACCCCATGACCAAGGATTTTGATAATTGGTATAACATTTTCATTGGCTATAGACTGGAGAATCCTTGGAGGCCCGTAGAGACTTCCCATACAGGATGAGACAGAGGAGAGGTAGAGTCCGGCCAACCACAGCACTCCCACAACAGACACCTGTAACGATGATACAAACAAGTACTGTCATATACTGTTTCAGCACACCTGTAACGATGATACATACAAGTACTGTCATATACTGTTTCAGTACACCTGTAACGATGATACATACAAGTACTGTCATATACTGTTTCAGCACACCTGTAACGATGATACAAACAAGTACTGTCATATACTGTTTCAGCAACCTGTACTGTCATATACTGTTTCAGTACACCTGTAACGATGATACAAACAAGTACTGTCATATACTGTTTCAGTACACCTGTAACGATGATACAAACAAGTACTGTCATATACTGTTTCAGTACACCTGTAACGATGATACAAACAAGTACTGTCATATACTGTTTCAGTACACCTGTAACGATGATACAAACAAGTACTGTCATATACTGTTTCAGCACACCTGTAACGATGATACAAACAAGTACTGTCATATACTGTTTCAGTACACCTGTAACGATGATACATACAAGTACTGTCATATACTGTTTCAGCACACCTGTAACGATGATACAAACAAGTACTGTCATATACTGTTTCAGCACACCTGTAACGTTGATACATACAAGTACTGTCATATACTGTTTCAGCACACCTGTAACGATGATACAAACAAGTACTGTCATATACTGTTTCAGTACACCTGTAACGTTGATACATACAAGTACTGTCATATACTGTTTCAGCACACCTGTAACGATGATACAAACAAGTACTGTCATATACTGTTTCAGTACACCTGTAACGATGATACATACAAGTACTGTCATATACTGTTTCAGTACACCTGTAACGATGATACAAACAAGTACTGTCATATACTGTTTCAGTACACCTGTAACGTTGATACAAACAAGTACTGTCATATACTGTTTCAGCACACCTGTAACGATGATACAAACAAGTACTGTCATATACTGTTTCAGCACACCTGTAACAATGATACATACAAGTACTGTCATATACTGTTTCAGCACACCTGTAACAATGATACAAACAAGTACTGTCATATACTGTTTCAGCACACCTGTAACGATGACACTGTTACAAGTACTGTCATATACATACACCTGTAACGATGATACAAACAAGTACTGTCATATACCGTTTCAGTACACCTGTAACGTTGATACATACAAGTACTGTCATATACTGTTTCAGCACACCTGTAACGATGACACAAACAAGTACTGTCATATACTGTTTCAGCACACCTGTAAAGATGACACAAACAAGTACTGTCATATACTGTTTCAGCACACCTGTAACGATGATACAAACAAGTACTGTCATATACTGTTTCAGCACATCTGTAACAATGACACAAACAAGTACTGTCATATACTGTTTTCAGTCCCGGACACTACAAGAGACACCTACATAGGCAGATCCATAAGGAGGGGGGTGGGGGTGTGTGGGGGGGTGTGTGTGTGGTGGTGTGTGCGCGCGCACCACCCCCACCCCCCATCCTGAAAGTTTATTAAATGACCATTGAAACTCGGGTGAAAAGGAAGTGTGCACCCTCCCTTTTCTCAATAGTGTGCACCCCCTTTCTCAAAAAGCTGTATCCGCCCCTGACCTAAATCAGACACTAAGATATGTCAGACTCCCGAGAAATATAACAGGCACTTGCACTAAATACTAAATTAATCACACAGTCAAAAAACAGACAAGGAAACAGATGCCAACATCACACACACAGACATATCAGTTGGTCTCAGACAAAGACGGGACACCCAGAGACACCAGACACATGCAACACACAGGAGCCTAGATGGTACGTGGTGGACACTGGGGGTGGCCTACCTTTTCAGCTATCATATAGTCCTCCAGCAAGTACACACGTAGACATGTGGCCCCCAGCACGAGGATAAACGATATGTACAGGAAAGTCCTGAAATGATGAAAATAGTATACTAAACTACAACCTTTAACATAAATCCTTGAGCATCCATACAGATACCCCATGGCATCCCTGTGAGTGGGGATTACAGGTAAGACTAAGGTTCCCTGGCAATCAGTTCTTGTATTAAGAGGTGAATTAGGGTACTGGGTGGTAAGGCACAGTGACCTGGTTGCATGTCATCATGACCCAATAGTCTCAGTCAGTGTTTATGATATATGAGTGTTTGTTTCAGACTCCATTATTTACAGCCTGCTGTCATATAAATGGTATAATGATAAATTGAATTGGCTTCAAACAAACAAGCAAAAACTATACGGGAATACAGGAACATAGAACAGTACAGTATATTATCAGTGTATGAAATAAGCCCCAAACCCAGCCAGACATCAGGGCTGGTAACTTCAATATGTTACCAGCCCAAATGGATTTAACCAGACCAGACACCAAGATAAGGTATGGAACATCTAAAAAATTTACCAGACTATCGAGCTGGCTAGCTGTAAATCTAGACCGTCCGTCAGAAATCTAGCCCATCTCGGGCGGTCGGACGGGCCTTATTTCATACACTGATATTATGATGCTGCACGGTTCTGGTCCCCTGTAAACGTACCCAACTCCCAGAGCAGCCAGGGTGCCACGGGGGATGTTGTAGAAGGGTCCCTCAGGTCCCCACTCATGTTGATTCCAGCCAGGATACCCGTTACCGTGGCAAAGAAAAGGCCAAATATACTGAAGAAGTTCTCCCCAGGGGCATAATCGGGACCTGAGTTGTTGACGAAGTTCCTCTCAGTGTAGCCTATGACTCCATTTTCTGGAAACAACAAAATGAATGGATTCTGTATCACTACACCTTAAGCTGACAACAGATACTGCAGACATGACAGTATGGATTGTGGTTTCCACTGGATGCTTCAAGGCTCTCATCACCATTCTCTTCTACTCAAGCCAGTGTATTCCAGCAATACAGTCCTGTGTCAGAAGAACTAATGGAAAACTGTTGTCATAAATATGTGAGTGAGTGAGTATGGTTTTATGACACTTTTAGCAATGTTCCAGCAATATCACAGAGTGGACACGAGAAATGGGCTTCACATATTGTACCCATGTGAGGAATTGAACCCTGCTGTCAGCGTGACAAGCGAATGCTTTAACCACTAGGCTACCCCACCGCCAACTAATTCTTTATGTACAAAGGAGCCAGCATGCTAATGACCTACATCTTTATGTACAAAGGAGCCAGCATGCTAATGACCTACATCTTTATGTACAAAGGAGCCAGCATGCTAATGACCTACATCTTTATGTACAAAGGAGCCAGCGTGCTAATGACCTACATCTTTATGTACAAAGGAGCCAGCGTGCTAATGACCTACATCTTTATGTACAAAGGAGCCAGCATGCTAATGACCTACATCTTTATGTACAAAGGAGCCAGCATGCTAATGACCTACATCTTTATGTACAAAGGAGCCAGCGTGCTAGCCATGTACAATGCTAATGACCTTCATCTTTATGTACAAAGGAGCCAGCGTGCTAATGACCTACATCTTTATGTACAAAGGAGCCAGCATGCTAATGACCTACATCTTTATGTACAAAGGAGCCAGCGTGCTAATGACCTTCATCTTTATGTACAAAGGAGCCAGCGTGCTAATGACCTACATCTTTATGTACAAAGGAGCCAGCATGCTAATGACCTACCATCTTTGATGTATGTACAAAGGAGCCAGCCTAATGACCTACATCTTTATGTACAAAGGAGCCAGCATGCTAATGACCTACATCTTTATGTACAAAGGAGCCAGCTTTATGCTAATGACCTACATCTTTATGTACAAAGGAGCCTTCATCTTTATGTACAAAGGAGCCAGCATGAGCCAGCTTCATCTTTATGTACAAAGGAGCTAATGACCTAGCATCTTTATGTACAAAGGAGCCAGCATGCTAATGACCTACATCTTTATGTACAAGATGTACAAAAGGACCTACCATCTTTATGTACAAAGGAGCCAGCATGCTAATGACCTACATCTTTATGTACAAAGGAGCCAGCGTGCTAATGACCTTCATCTTTATGTACAAAGGAGCCAGCATGCTACTGACCTACATCTTTATGTACAAAGGAGCCAGCATACTAATGACCTACATTTATGTACAAAGGAGCCAGCATGCTACTGACCTACATCTTTATGTACAAAGGAGCCAGCATGCTAATGACCTGCTAATGTACCCAGCATGCTACGGACCTACATCTTTATGTACAAAGGAGCCAGCGTGCTAATGACCTTCATCTTTATGTACAAAGGAGCCAGCATGCTACTGACCTACATCTTTATGTACAAAGGAGCCAGCATGCTACTGACCTACATCTTTATGTACAAAGGAGCCAGTATACTACTGATCAATATCTTTATGTATGAAGAAGCCAACAAGCTAGTCTTACATCCGTATGTATGAAGGAGCCGTCATGCTACTGACCTGCATCTGTATGTACAAAGGAGCCGACCATGAGATCCATGGCAGACAAGAAGAGCACAAGCAGGAGGAGGAGTTGGAGCCGAATCACCCACTTGACGCCCGCCACATTGATGCCTGTATGGGAGAAGTGTACAACACACAATCAGTAAACTTGAGCACTTTCAAAAGTACCAGTGTTTCAGTTATATCACAGTGTCAGTTCAATTAGGATGGTTGGTTGGTTTGTTGTTTAATGCCGCACTCAGCAATATTCCAGCTATATGGTGGCAGTCTGTAAATAATCAAGTCTGGACCAGACAATCCAGTGATCAACAGCATGAACATCGATCTACACAATTTGGGATACGATGACATGTGTCAACCAAGTCAGCAAGCTGACCCCCCGATCCCGTTAGTCGCCTTTCACGACAAGCATGGGTTATTGAAGATCAGTTCTAACCCAGATCTTCATGGGTTTAATATGGATGGAAGAGCCAGAAGACATGCATGTTAGCACATTTTTTAAACCATAATCATGGCACTGACAGACCAGTTAGGCCCTATTTGTTCACCTGAAAATAATACAGATAGAGAGATTCAGGAAATTTCATATCAATTATTATCATTATAATTTGTATGACAGGTAAGATGTCAAAATCTTTTTAAAATATGCTGTTTTCATCTGAAAAATGACTCCAAATCAGTCATAAACCCCACCACAAGACTCGTGTGACAATAACGGGACACCATCATAACACTGTGCAATGGAAACAGGCTGCCGAATACTACTATGATTAAGATGATCGAGGATACTTGCTGTTGAGACACACATAAGAGTATTTTGTTTAGCTTGCATTTTTACGAGTCAGGAAACTGCACCAGTTGTTTATCCCTTGATTTAACAAACATAACAATAGGAGTCACACTTGCTAAAGTATAATTTGATGTTTCATTTTTTTATGAATATCAATTAGTCATCGAGCTCGTCGATTATCGTCGATGCAAGTGAGATCAATCTGTTGACCGATTATTTGATAAATTGCTCCAGCACAATACAGAGTGGTTCAAATGTCACCAACTGCACCAACTATTAGACAGCCAGTATGTACTCACAAAGCAGAAGTAATACAATCCCAAAAGCGATGCCTCTGGCAATCCAGGGGTTGGACTGACCAATCAGCTCCATGATAGACTCGCCAAAACCCATCACACTGAGAGAACAGCTGACCGACTGCAAGAGAGACAATGTTGTTAAACACTGGACACAACCTCAGAACTCTCAAATCTGACATTATACAACATAAATCATATATATTCTCCTACCTAAAATTAACATGAATGTGAATTTTTATTTAATTTCAAGTTCTCTCAATACTTTAAATATATTTTCATGACACTACTCTATTTGTCCCATTTATTACTTCCCTGTATTTATCACAATAGTAAATCCCCATTGCAAGTGTTCTGACATTACAGTAGGAAGAGTAGTCTTTTCCTCTAAACACATCAATGTCACAAAAACACACTTCTTTGTCCCCTCCTCAAGACATGGGGGCAGTGAATTAAAGAGGTTCTGGTATATTTTTCCTCACACTGGAGACCTGGGTTCAATTCACATGGATATAACTTATGAAGCCTATTTTTTCGTGTCCCAGTGGAGTGGAGTGAGAGTGGAGAGGAGTGGAGTGAGAGTGGAGTGGAGTGGGTGAGAGAGTGGAGAGGAGCTGAGGGAGAGGAGCCGAGAGGGTGAGAGAGTAGCAGAGTGGAGGGAGAGGAGTGGGTGAGAGAGTGGAGTTGAGTTGAGTAGAGCGGAGTGGAGTGGAGCGGCTGAGAGAGCGGAGTGAGTGGAGCGGAGCAGAGTGGAAAGGAGTGGAGTAGACTGAGAGAGAGTAGAGTGAGTGAGTGAGTGAGTGAGTAGTATAACAGTGCTTTGAACAGCATTGAGTTACATCATGGCATGTAAAGTAGGTGAGTTCAGGTAAGGTGAATTGAGGTTCAAGATTATTTATACAATGATATGCATGTGTGTGCATGTGCATGACTGCGTGCATGTCTCTCTGCTAGAACTAGACAGAAACAAGTAGCATGTTTTAACATCTGCTGGCATGACATAGCTGGGTATCAAACCATGTCCTTCCTTTCAGTCTCATGACATGTCAGGTTGGTGGGTTAGCCTAGTGGTTAAAGCATTCGCTCGTCACGCCAAAGACCCAGGTTCGATTCCCCACATGGGTACAATTTGTGAAGCCCATTTCTGAGGTCACATGCAACGTAAAACACAACTTTGCAGATTCTGATACCTTCGGTATGGACATACCAAAACAAATCATTCAAAATGCAAATTCAACTTATAAAGTTGAAAATAACGCCATGAAAAAAAAACGCTAAATCGGAGTTCAAACGTTTTCACTAATTTTCCCCAGACTTTTCTGGGGAAAACGGGTTTCAAAAGCTGGGCTGCGCCATAGCATGTGCGCAGTGAAATAGGTTCGCGAGCTTGGAAGCGGGTTGTCGGGTGAATACCGGTGAAGGCTTTGGTGTGAGCTATTTTTCTAATGTTTTGTTGATATCTCACAGGCGAAGCTTTTATATGTTATGACAGTAAATTAACTGTTTATATAATTTCATTTGTCTATTTCACCACACGCTCTTCTTACCGAGTCACTTTCTCAGTTCGATACTTAAAAAGCAATGTCATTATTTAGCTGACAGAATTTCTAACTGTGATATAGATATGTCGCTGTCACAGACAAAACTCAATGTCTTGTTTTATTGACACCTGTGTGTCTGCCTGCCTGTCTGCTAATGACAATATTCAATACACAACTGCGATCACTGACCACATGCAATTTGAACTTAACACCAATCAGGCTATACACCATAAACAAAACGCATTGATTTATGGCCCGAAGTTCGGTCTCTGTCACATTATGTAATTACACAGACAGGCAGGTGTGATACTTGAACACATGACATGTTATGATGTCTGTTGATTGCAAAATGTTATACACAAAAAATGAGCATGTATTTACAAACCCAACATCTCTATATATACACACACAATGAGCCATGAAGGCTGCATTCTGCTAATGAACCAGCCGCTACACTTGAGTGCACACCCACCCGCTTGACTGGGTTCGTATCCCGCTGCTTCGCTTCGAGGGAGGTAAACCCAAGTACAAAATATTGCACTTTTGATTTGGCGATTATTCGCTTTATAATTTTGTTTATTTGTTTTTTCATAATCAGCAATGCATATTATATGTCATGAAGAAGTGATAATTGTGTTTTAATTATGTTTGATTTTTGGTTGCATGTGACCTTTAAAAGATAGCAAAATAAATTATCTCCTTTTATTAACAGGCCACTAGCATTTATGAGTAAAAATGACAAATGGGTCTATTGATTACAACTTCATAGCCTACATAAGCCCCACTTACTCTCCCTGGAATCAATAGCTAACAGCTTTGAAGGACTTGCGTGCACATTTAAACATTACATAATACAGGCCAGGCCATGTTTTAGTGACACAAGGTGGATTTCTTGTCTGTTAGCGTCTCGACTGATTATGGCGTTGTATCATAATGATTAGTCCACCTATACTGCTCTAAATCCACACCGACAGCATGCTCATAGCACAGACAATTATTACCCCAGATAAGGTTATATAATTATAGTCACATGACATATCCCACCGGATACCCATTTTCTGCTGGGTGAACAGTGGCAATTTTGAACAAACTCACTTGCCCAAGGTGAGACCAGATGTATCACAAGTGCATCTTTGTGGGGCAGGACTAAAGTCTTAGAAACTCTCAGGAGTCAAGCTGCCAAACATGGTCACTCATCCCAGCATTGCCTAACTTCAACTGATTTGTGACCTGAGCTCTATGCACAGCACCACACAGCACCACATGTAGCACACTGACCATCGTGTCCAGTGAGTTCACAACCCAGAAAAAAAGCACCCTTCCAATCTAAAATTTGAACAAATAAATGTTCGTGCTTGAAATGAGTGACTTGTGTTTTATACAGGTTTTCGCAATATTCCAGGAAGGGACATCAATCATTGGTTTTCTTTATATTCAATTTAGACACAATACTTTTCTGCAATAGAGATCACAATATTTACATCATGAATAAAACATTGAGATTGTATCAAATCACGACTTCAGTGCCCTGACAACATTCTTATGTTTTAGTACAGAATTTCCATTCCAAAGTTCTTTGCCTTTCCCAGGCTCCTTTCTCCAAATACAGGGCCATCCCCTACTTTCCCTTTACTGACTGGTCAACATCTGGTCACATACAAAGTGGCCCAACATAATCTCCTATTTGCTTAGAAATTCTTACTTTGTTTTGACCCTTAAATTCACACTGACAAAGGTTTTAACAGATTTTAAAAAGCCTTATTAAAGCAATGAAACAAAACACATATTTTTAGTAAAAGAGTAATCCAGGATTTGCTACAAACATTTCCTCTCTCTGGGTTTTTCAAGGACTGTTCATGGACTTTTCAAACAGACTTCAAAATGAAAGGTCAAGGTGGGAACCTTGTACTGCCATCATATCTTATTACTTTGCACAACAATGATTAGTTTCCTTAAATGAAAATCTAACCAACTTATTCAGTGTTAAAGACTGGGCTTATATCAAATCCACATCAGCCTCAGAACTAGCTCAGTAATATTTACAGAACAGTTTATACATGGCATTAGCGCTCTATGACTTTGTCTCTAATGTCCTCATATGATGGTGAACATTTTACCTGAGCAAAGCAGTAGATAATGCCAACGCTGCCGCCAATGCGTCCACCCAGGACGTGGGAGATGAGGAAGTACACGCCGCCGCTCTCCATATGACATCGCTCACACACCCCTATAGCACTGAGAGCCACGATCATCACAATAGACACTGACAGCAGCACTGTCACAATCGATAGTCCGATTCCAGCATTACCCTGCAATATATAATCATTCACATCCAAAAAGAGGGGAAAACAGTCTACGTTTCGCTCCAAATTAGCTCATAGTTACTGGTACATGACATCCTTTCCCATCTCATTATAAGAAGAGATCTAATTTCACCATACAGTCCTTTCAGAAAATACTCTGAAAGTTTAACTTTATATTTTATATCAGCAACCCTAGTACATGAAAAAGGCCAAAGTCTCAACCAACTTGTTTATATTTTTGCCTAGTTTTCATGAGAAGAAAAAAACAACAACATTCTGTTGGGTTAACAATTAGTTTTTAAAAAAGGCCTCCTGAAGGAAAGGTTACAACAAAATCCATAGTTGTACATGAATAGCAATTACAAAATCACTATAATACAGATAACCAAATCCATGCCTTAATTTAACAATGATGTCAAACTAATATATCAGATTTTGGAACAGAAAAAGTACATGTATCAAAACCTCAAACAACATCAGAACAGTCTTTTCAAAGAGAATGTGATCTTATGAAATGTGAAAAGTTAGGAAGTGTCGTTGAAATGAGGAACATACCACAATCCATCCCATACGCAGGAAGATGACCACGCTGAGGATGTTGATGAGGCAGGACGTAAACACACCGTCCCACGTCCAAACAGCACCGGCTCCGAGATGAAGAAGTTGGACTTCCACCATGGCTGCTGTGACAGGTTCTGAAAGGACAAGAGTAACGAATAAATATCAGATTTATGGATGTCAATTTCCTTATGAGGAACACAATGTTTCAGAGTTTATGTTTGCACCTTCATCATATTCTTACTCATCATACTCTGAAATGTCATGTTTTTCCATCTCCTATCTCTTGTATATAACACATGTAATACTAAAAACTAAATGCTTCATAATCAGTCATAATTGCAGAAATTCTGCAGCAACATTCAGGACTGTTTACGTCCTCAGTAAAGCATGACGAAGTGTAAATTAGATGTAATGATGAGATCTACATTTCAAAATGTAAATGATGAATAGAAAAAACATGATACTGATTTATTGGTAGTTTCATAATATATTCTGAGTTCATAGGACATTAACTTCATATTGAATGTATCTTCAGGTTAAAACACACTTACATGCCACTTTCATCTAAGGTTATTGACAGACACATGAATATCCTAACTCGACAAAACAATATAATCTGAGACAGCTCTGCTATTCTTTGGTTACTTATATAGCTGGAATACCACTGATTGGATGAAACAACCGCATAACAATCTATTCTTGGAGCCTATCAACCTTGAAAGCAAACATGCGATGGTTCATTAATGCTATGAATATATTCTTCAATATTACTGCAAGGTCACACAATACCTAGGCCATTTATACCTGCAAATTATCAATTATGGGTATATGAATGGTCACACCTGTAGTGTTCTGCACCTGCCTCGTTTGTCAATCACACAGGTGTCTAATGACCATGATAATAGGAAGAGCTGCATTATGCTCTCTGTATGTACATCTGGCCACACAATGCGTCATTTTGCCTTGCAGAGCTCACTAAATACTCTAAAGTAACATACCATCTGTATCATATTGACATGTTGAGTCTACTAATTACTGTAATGTAAGGTAGTATCTCTATCATGTTGTCATGCTGGGTCTACTCAATACTGTGTGGGGTCGGTGGGGTAGTCTAGTGGTTAAAGCGTTGGCTCGTCACGCCAAAGATCCGGGTTCGAATCCCCACATGGGTACAATGAGTGAAGCCCATTTCTGGTGTCCCCCGCCGTGATATTGCAGGAATATTGCTAAAAGCGTCGTAAAACCAAACTCAGTCAGTCAGTCAGTCAATACTGTGTGAAGTTAGGCACTATCTCTTTCATTTGTTTTATGTTTATGTCACACAGTAATTTTCCAGCTATATAACTGTAAATAATCAAGTCTGAACCAAACCAACCAGTGACTGACATCATGAGTACCAATCAACACAATTGGGATATGTTATAAACCATCCTAGTCAGCAAGCCTTACCCATTAGTCTCCTTTTACGACAAGCATGGGTTGCTGAAGACCCATTCTAACCCAGATCTTCACAGGTCTACTCTCTCAATTACATAGACCATGCTGGTACTTCAGTGATGTTACCAAACCGACTATACCAGTACCATTGAACTATTCTTTCTATTGTCAGCAGAGCAAGATACAGATCTGCTTTTTGCTAGTCAGACCCTAACCTTGGTATGATGTTTTCCTTGTAAGAAAACATCAATTGTTCTCAAATTAAAGGCAAGGACTGAAATGTTTTTACTTCGGATCATGGGATCCGAACCCACAACCTCCTGACTAGTAGTAAGGCACTCTATCCTTTAAACCACACAAATTGTTGATATCAGGAGGTTCAATAGAAGATGCCATCTGTAACCCTTATGTTCTGGACAGATTCTTTTTAAAGCCTTTCTTTTGACTGTTGTAACAAATTTACAACATAAGAAATCAAACAGATGTCATCGATGTTGAAATAACAATTAGATGGATGTTGACAACAGTCAGAGAAAATCACATCACAATTTTGGTTCATAATGTCAATCATCTCTGTAATATCCCCTGAAATAACAATTATTATCTGACTTTCATATTAACCCAAAACATTTCAGTGATGTTGATCATTTCCAATACCATATCATACTGTTCTCATGTTTAAGTACATTTTCAAACATCATATCATATGGTCTCTATCATTTCTCTATACTTCTACTATTACACATATCAAATACCATATCATACTGTCTCTATCATAGTATCTAAGTACCAGATATACTTCTCTACTATTACTATCATATCATACTGTCTCTATCATAGTATCTAAGTACCAGATATACTTCTCTACTATTACTATCATATCATACTGTCTCTATCATAGTATCTAAGTACCAGATATACTTCTCATTATTATCATATCATACTGTTCTATCATAGTATCATAGTACCAAATATACTTCTACTATTACTATCATATCATACTGTCTCTATCATAGTATCTAAGTACCAGATATACTCTACTATTACTATCATATCATATCTGTCTCTATCATAGTATCTAAGTACCAGATATACTTCTTACATATTACTATCATAGTCTATACTGATATACTTTCACTCATTATCATCATACTGTCTATCATAGTATCCTATAGTACCAGGATCATACTCATATCATACTGTCTATCATCATAGTATCTAAGTACCAGATATACTTCTCTACTATTACTATCATATCATACTGTCTCTATCATAGTATCTGTCTATCATACTGTCTCTCATCATATCATACTATACTTCTCTATCATGTCTCTTCTCTACTATCATATATACTTCTCACTATTAATCATAGTATCATAGTACCAAATATACTTCTTACTATTACTATCATATCATACTGTACATAGTATCATAGTACCAGATATACTTCTCTACTATTACTATCATATCATACTGTCTCTCTATCATAGTATCTAAGTACCAGATATACTTCTCTATATTACTATCATATCATACTGTCTCTATCATAGATCATATCATAGATATACTTCTCTACTATACCAAATATACTTCATAGTATCTCTACTTTACATTACTATCATATCATCTATTGTCTCTCATCATAGTATCTTAGTACCATATCAATATACTTCTCTACTATATCATACCTATCATATCATACTGTCTCTATCATAGTATCATACCAAATGTTCTACTCTATCATATCATACTGTCTCTCATCATAGTATCTAAGTACCAGATATACTTCTCTACTATTACTATCATATCATACTGTCTCTATCATAGTATCATAGTACCAAATATACTTCTCTACTATTACTATCATATCATACTGTCTCTATCATAGTATCTTAGTACCAAATATACTTCTCTACTATTACTATCATATCATACTGTCTCTATCATAGTATCATAGTACCAAATATACTTCTCTACTATTACTATCATATCATACTGTCTCTATCATAGTAACAACTATACTATTACTACCATATTATCAAACACATTTCTGTTCTATCCTGTTCTATTTTGTTAACATCACACACTATATCTATCATATTGTAAAATACCATTCTGTACAAGCCCTCTTTAGCACAATTAACACATATTCTCTTATCTTTGTAATGAGAGGATGATACTCGGAGAAGAGATACAAACTTCCTTGAACAGTCCTATTATTGACAAAAACCAAGCTACAGCAAACTAGCATAATTCATCCATTTACTTATAGTTATTAGAAACACATTGACTTGTAATAAACCTGCATGATATAAATCCTTTGAAACAATTTACAACAAAACAAATTATATATCAGATAATACTATAGTCCGTTTGGCTCAAAAGCGGACCGATGAATTGCAATCTAACTCGAAAACTAATAAACATAACATACTCAATGAAACGCTGATCATAATCAAAACATCATACTCACTCTGTGAGGTTGTTGCAGAATTTTTCTCTTAAAAATAATAATGTTGTTTAACAAACTATCATTAAAATATTGACACAGTTCACTGTTTGTTACGAGGGAGGAGTGCAGAGAAAGGGACGGACTATAGTTCCATGGTTAGACCGTTAACATGTTTTTTTCTGTGTTTCCAATCTCTGCCCGAGCTGAATCTTTCTTCCCAAAATGAAAAAATAGAAAGTTTTCTAATTTCCACACAGCTGTGGAATCATGCCCTCATGTGATAAAACATACTGTTACCCTTGCACGCTTTATCTTGATCTTTCTTCATTCTAAATTCTATTTTCATAAAATATGTTACACAATAACTGAAAAACCTTATTTTGTATCACTGCCTGCTGATGCGGTTGGAGATGAGAAACACATAAAAACATACAGATGACGATATCTATCAACATGATCGATAGACAGCCAGGAGATGACATTGTCAGGATTATCTTTCCACAGATTAATTATTCTGCTCCCTATGCTCCCCGACATAGTAGGTAACTGTTTACTGTAGCAGTCTCATCAGTTTTAGCATAATCGGTGATGGATATAATATAATACTGGAGGCGATAATGGAAACAAATTACAAATATATCCTACAAACCAGTGAAGCGACAAACAGTCATAGGAATTTACAAACACTAACAGCTGTTAAATCTATCCGAACGTTTATGTCATTAATTATACATCTACCATGGATCATCATAACAGCATGTTTTATTCCTACTCTATCATCAATTATTTATAACTGCATCACCTCATGGTTCACAGACGAAATACATGACAGGATCAGGGGTCTTATTCATATCATCATGTCATTATATCAATCTGTGGTGTAGTGGTTAGAGCGTCCGCCCGGAGAGCAGAAGGTCGCGGGTTCGATCCCCGACCGCGTCATACCAAAAGACGTTAAAATATGGTACTTGTTGATCCCTGCCTGGCGCCTGGCATTAATGGGTCGGCTTGGAGTCAGTATAATGTGTATGAGTGGAGTATTCATGCTTCACTGCGACATGGTATCTCAGTGGGCTAGCACTAAAAGACCAGCTTCAGTCTGGGCTAGTACAAGCAGCCGCACATACACATACACACGCATGCACGTCATCATATGAGCGAAATATTCTCAAGCACGACGTTAAACCCAATTTCACCTCACCTCACATCCAAACTCCAAGTAAGCTCTTTTTTTCTTACTAGTAA